TGTTATGAGACAAGGTCATTTTAGTCTAAAAGCATACATTTTCCTAAAATCAAGAAACATTTAATGAAATTCTTAATCATTGTGTAAAGCTGAAAACGACGATTAAAATGGAACGGAGGAAGTATATAGATATTCCAGAAGTTTATTTGGTAGCTATAATTTTAGATCATAGGTTAAGACTTGATTTGTTACCTGATCGGCTAAAATATATTACGATAATTAATCTACGAACATATCATTATTGGATTGTCTACAACTTCCTGACGTATCCACTCTTGTTAAAAAATCAGTTGCGTTGTCAAATAAAATTTATGATGAATTTAATAGTATATCTGGAACATCTAACGTTTCAAATAACAATGTTGCTCATGCATCAGAGACATCTAATATGTTGGCACAACGTTTATTGCATGAGTGATTCAAGTGCCCAAGTCTTCATCATCAAGTTCTAATCTATGATTGTCTTGAGTAGAATCTTTCAATAATTGGTAAGAAACTCTTTCTTTATTAAATTAGAAGACAAGAACAAAACACAAAAAAATGAAGAAAAATAATAAATTTAATTATCATACTATCATTCATGTAGATAGATGAATAAGTCCATTTTTTGTTATACATTCCTTAAACTTATATTATATACTCATCACTTAGATATATAGATACTTATTATTCAAAATAATAATTTTCAAACAGAATTAATTTATAATAAATACAATCCCTAATTATAAATTATAATTAGTATAAATATGATATCAAAAAAATAATAACAGGTACAAATAGTAAGTCGAGGTACCCATTTTATGATAACTTTTAATTTTCCCTCTATTTTTTTGTCATTAGTAGGACTCTATTTTTTTGTCTTTAGTAGGACTAGTATTTCCGGCAATTGTAAAGACGTCTTTATTTCTTCATGTTCAAAAAAATAAGACTGTTTAGATATGGGGGGCCTAAACCTCATCCATTTTTTTTTTTTAAATTTAGACTTGTAGCATAAGACAAATATTTATTTCGGGAAAGTATTACATATGATTTCTGCCGAAAAAAAAAAAAAAAAAAAAAAAAAAAAAAAAAAAAACCCTTATGCCTGCAGAAAATTATCTAAGGATAGTAATTTAGTTTTAACTAGTTTCAAATAGATTAGGATCGTTGGATGCCTAATGTAGAAAGTTGGTGGATCTAATGTATATCAATATGTATATTGGGATGGGATGATCTAAGGGATATGTCATTATTTTAGATCCAGCCAATTGGATGAATTACTCCTAAAGGTTGCATACGATATTTAGATAAACTTATTTTATCGAATAAAAGACAATGTTTTAAAGGTTTAGAAATATCACTGCTAATATGAAAATTGTACTATCCTTGCGATCTTGAGTACTCTTACTCAACCAATTAGCCACTTCATTTCCTTCTCTGAATGAGTGCACCAATATTCAGTGATTCGCTATTTGCTTGTGAATATTCCAACGAATATATTTAATATCCCATCCACATTTACGTTTACGACAAACCATATCCACCAATATCTTAGACTCGGAATCAATTTCCACCAGATTCAAACTCAGGTCCAGACAAAGAGAGATGTCATCATTTAAAGGTTTTGTCTCAACTAGAAGATTGGATCCATTACAAAAAAAAAGTGAGAATGCACCAATAAAATAGTTTTCTACTCGCCACAAAGTTTCGTCAATCTCTGCTGGTGCAACCGCTTCCGTTTCTAAGTTAGGATGAAAGTGGATTCACTTGTCGAACTACGAGGGGTTGTTCGATAAACACAATCAACATAAGGAAATTGTTCAATACTAATTTCCTTCGGCTCTCCCAATCGAGTTTTGAGTTGCTGCAAGATTGTGTGATTAATAACCTCAATTTGATCATTCGCCTGGGGTTCTTACTGAAATGAAGAAATATTTCATGTCGAAAAATACTGGTACCATTTGGTCATTTTGGCTCCAGAAAACTGGTTCATTATATGAAAATAATATGCACAAAATTCCAAAATGGCACATTATATTTTTCTATAAATATTTATGTGTCTTCTTATCCTATCCTATCTAAGCTTCAGCTTCCACCGTTTTGGTGAAATAATTATACGACAATTGAGAATTTCCTTTAGCCGGTCCAGGCATGGTCCAATGATGTTCATATTTCATTCCTCGAACGGTAGTAGACTGATAATTAGTTGAAGCATGGAACGGGGTCAATGTACAACATTCCGTGAACTGGAAACTTCGACATTGTGCTAGTATGTATTTGGAATCCTTCAACATGCTAGGTCAAAAGTATCACTGTCTTAGCATTTTCGAGACTACAGTTTTCCCTTTGAGATGGTCCCCTCATGGAATTCACGGAGCAAATTATTCGCTTCATATATATGGAACCAGATATTTCATAAATGGAACTATAAATCCTTCTTTGTAGAGCTCTCTGTTAAAGACCAAAACATGAGTGGTTCTTGTCTTGAGTTTTCTTGTTGTCGGTCCATGCGCGTGAAGTTCTGATGTAGAGAGATACTTCACAAATTTCTTCTTTCCATACATATACCAAATTATTCGTTTTCTTTTGATGCAACTTGTTTCTTTTTCTTGGTATACACCAATAAATAAACCATAGAATAAATATATAGCACGTTTACTTTATAAAAATATTATTATCTAAGAAAATTGAAGAGACTCTCATCATCATATCTGAAATACACTTTAATTGCGCTCATATCCCGAAGAATTACTGGTCAAATTAAGTATCTTTACAGCAAACGTTTGAAGTTCGGAAACATTATCTCCACAAGTATTCCACCAATCAACCGGATTCTTATTTTCCAACAATGCTCTTGCATCTCCCCTAAAAATATGTTTTGTGTGTTATGGAATGCATCAAGTTGTCAATGATTGTACGCACTTCAAATCAATCATTTGTCAATCTATCGGTTTTCAATAAAAAAAAAAAGCCACATTTAACATCCATGTCATTAGCATTAAAAGTTGGACAGTAATAAATCATCAAGTTTAAATAGTGGGTTGTTGCATGCAATGGCTTATGAAGTTAGCTATGCCACATCTCATCAATTAACTTTATATAGGCTAAGATCTAAACAGAACTTGAAAAAAAAACATCAAATCTTCATGGATAAATTAATAAAGGAAATAAAAATATTAATTTACCTTTCTTTCACATTGTTGAAGTTACATTGAACCGTTTCTTTTGCACAATTTATCTCATCATACAAGAACAACATAACATAATGCTCATATGAATCTATCAACCATAGTACTTTGAATAATGATACTCTAAGACATGTCACAACATTACTCCAAAATTTAACACAATATTTTGGACTCTCTTGCCTTTATCCGTATGAACGAACTTCCTTCATTTCTAATTTGATGAAGAAAATATAGTGATTAGTGAACCCTTATGTTTACTAAGGCAACTCAAAGTCAAATATGTCATGGCAAATCGAGTGATAGGAGGCTGAATCAAATCTCTTCCTTTTGTAAAGTGTTTGAATATAGAATTTAGCATTGTTCTGTTGTACATAAATGTTGTTATATTTCTACCTTTCTTTATTGTTAATCGGTGAGTTTGCAACTTCTTATCCAAATCTAACATCAAATCTATGAATTGGTTGCACATGGTAACCAAAAATAATTCTACATTTTCTCCATCAACAGTGATCCAACTCCTTTGTATGAAGCATTAGTGATCATTGGCGCACCATATTCTCTTTCCCAACCTTGTGCACAATTTTATCCAACATCTCAAACACCTTTTCAGTCATTTTAGAAAAGGTGTCCTTTGATTCTAGGAAAACAGTTCATTTAGAACTATTGACAAAGAAATTACATATAGATCTTCTCTTTTTGTCAATCCAAGCATCAGACATGATTGTTCATCAAATCTTATTACACTCGTGCTTATTGAAATCGATTTGATTCTTCATTTCCTTCACTTCTTTAATCAAGATAGTCCATTTAATATCGTGGTAAGAGGGAGCTTTAAAACCTAGACCATGTCAATCTATCTCCTCACATGATAACAAACTCGAGATTTCTCACTGGTGTAAAACCACATGTTATTCCTTTGCATGCATTTTTTCTCAAATCCTTCTTGAGTAGTTGATTCATTGTTGTTTGAGATCAACCTACTTTTCCTTTCCGTTTTAAAACTGAATCTAACTTCGTTTGTGTTCCTTTCATCGAAATCGAAGTACCATACTCATACACTTTCTTCTTTCTTATTTCCTCTATCTCAACAAGAATTGCTAGAGCCTTAATCATTCAGGTTTCACATCATCCGGAACATTTATGTTCGCCACAACATTGTCATTTGTACCAGCAAGATGGTTTTCAAACAAAAGACACCTCCTGTAAATAAGTTAGCACAATATTTGGATTGAGATTTCTACGCATTATTGTGAATATCAATACCATGTTCCAACCCAAATTTAAGGTTTATTTCCAATAGAATTCTTTCTCTTCTTCTTAATCAAAGTTAAAGCACTATAAGCCCCCAACATTTTAATTAAGAATCTGAAAATTAAATAGGAATAATGATGTATTAAGTAAATGTTGAATATTAAACTAACAATAAGACAAATAATGAAAGTAATGTCATCAAAAGAATGACTGAACTTCTCAATAAGAGCCAAAAAAACCTAGTAAACAATGAATTCACCAGCGCTGCCTTCTTCCTCGTCGCCACCCTGCACCGTCCGTTGGATCTTCTCTTGTGCAGAAGAAAAGTACTTTCTTCTTCACATATCGCGAAGTATAGGGAAATTAGATCTTATTCGGGTAATAGGCTTTCTAAAGTTTAGTTAAAAAATCAGAGATTTAAGCCCAAACTTGAAATGTTTGCCAATATGTTAAAATGGAAACAAAATAACGATTTTACTCCGATTTCACCACAATTTGACAACTTGTAAGAGTGAAAAATCATAAAATCTTACAATTTGGCGGTTTAAATCCCGAATTTAAAAATATTCCAAGCAAAGAAACTGATCAAATAAAAGCCAAACTTCTATATTTACATATGGATGCAAAAGAAATACAAATTCAAAGGATGAATCCCGCATGCATGTAAACAAGGAAGTACATTGTCGTTGTTTATGTTCAGTTCATTAGAATCCATACCCATAATTATTACACATACAAAGTACAAAAGCTACACCATATATCATTACATAAATTACAAAGGAGCCCCTCTTAGCCTTTCTTAAACAAAAACAACTGATGACTAATGGGCTTACTGTTTAATTTGTTTTTACAAACCTTAATTAGAAATATCTTCATGCAGCTTCAGCAAATCCCAGCTGGAGATTGCCGTAGTCGAACACAGTGTGGTACGCCCCCATGAACACGTCTCCAAGAATCCTGATCCAAACAAAACCCCCCATTCGTTAATTTCCAAAACAATTTTTTTTCTTACATATATAAATATATATTTAAAGAAATGATAAAAATCGATTATTTTGTGAACTTACCAAAGCGGTCCGCGAGGAGGCGCGACGTCCAAAGCCATGAATCCGCTGATGCAAATAGCGGTTTCGCCTTCTCCCGTTTTCAGAATATACTGCGCCCGCCAAACAAAATATAACCGGTTTGATTAACAAATAATGTAATAAAAAAAATTCAAGAAAATCAAGAATCTTCGGAGAATTAGTAACAATAGTGAATCGATGAACAAACAAACCTGTTCGGGAGTGAGAACATAAGCTTTCCCACCAATGGTGAAGGTGACATCTGTCATGTTCGATATCGTGTTGCAATCGATTAGGGACTCTCCAGCTGGACTCGGAATGCTCTCGCATAACTGTTTTTTTATCATAAAATAATAAATAATATATAGACGACAAAAAAATCAAAGTTCTATGTAGACAATATGCACACCTGATTGACATAATCGAGCACTTTTTCCTTTACTTGTTGATTATTAAGCTGATTTCTCATCCAAACGACAGCCATCTCACAAGCCGTACATAACGGATTTTCACTAACCGATGCTCCCTCACTCGTCTCCTTTTCAACGACCATTGCAATATTCGAGCTGCAAATTTCAATCATTTTGTTATAAATTATGGAATAAAATTGATTTTAAGTTACGACAATTACGTTAAGTTACGATCAAACCTCACAGACTTGGATCCTTTGGTAAAGCATAGACCCAACTGCGAACAAACTTTATCGGGTTTAACCTGCATAAATTCAATTAACAGTTAATTAATTTAATTTTTTCGAGATTCTATCTTCAAATGAAAAGAAATTCGAAGGTATAATAAATAAAGGAAAAAACGTACACCGGATACAAGTAATTCCCATATCATATCTCCGTACTGGGAGACGATTTCTTTACATTCGGTGCTCACAACTCCTTCTGCTCCGATTGCGTGGTTTATTTGAGTCACAACAGTCTGAAATTTATGCTAGTTCATTAATTAAGATTTCTATTTTTTATTTATTTAAATCGATCTATATATTGCAAATTCAATGTGACAGATGAAAAAAAACATAAGCAATATATAATAAATAAAACAGTAGAATCACTTACGGTTGGGCCAGTAAGCAACGATGTACCCGAATCCACAATAGCAGAACAACCATCTTCACAAAAACCTGGTACAATAATTCTTTTTAGATAAAATTAATAATAATTAATTATTTACAAAGTAATCAAGACTAATACGACAGAAATTACCGGTCGACTGGTTTCCGATGAGGAAATCGCCCATAGCAAACTGGTAAAAAAAGAAAGATTACTTACTAGTATGATCATATAAAAATCAAAGTCACAATATATATAATGAAGTATACCTGCCAGTAGCCCTTTTCGGTTACGGGAACGTAAGTATGGTTTCCTATGTAATGGTCTGGATCAACTCCACCGAAGATTATCTCGCCTCCGACTTCGGCTTCAGTGTCGCGATTGAGCCAGAAAGAAAATACCTTCTCGTCGACAAGACCTTGGTCAACCATATTGTACCTTTCGTTTTTTTTGCAATAGAATAATCAATTTCGTTTCGACGGTAAAATAAATTATTACGAAAAAAAAAAAAAAAAAGTTAATTTGGGATTATACCAGACCGGCACTGCATCGCCGACGGAAATTTCTTGGAAACCGAGACCGAAAATCCCGTCAAATTTGGCGAGGACAAATGTAAGGCTTCCTTCTCGTGTAGCCTCGATAAAAACCTGAAAAATAGATTAATTTAATCGATAAATATTAACAATAGAAAATGGCATGTTTGTTGATTTAAATAATAAAAAAATCGGAAAAAGAATGGAAAAGGAAGACGAACTTGATCTTCGACAACAACATCACCAACTAGAACATTGTCTTGGCTAAAATATCCAGAGATTGACCCCGACCCGTATTGAATCGAGCAAGGCTTCCCTGAATTTTCGAAATATATTTACAATTATGTTATATAAAAGAACTTTTAGAAGAGCAGATATCGATCAAAAGAAATACATTGCTAAAAAAACTTCGATTTTTATACCAATCTTTGTATATGTGCTGGACTTGGCAGCCTTAAATCTCGAATGGAAATAGCAAGCAATCTACATATAAATATTCAACTTAGTACAACAGTTTACGAAAAAAATAAAAACAAAACAAAAAAACGCGATGGAATATTTGATAAAATCACTTACGGAGAAATAACATTTTGCGGACGGAACCCAAAGATTGGAGCTGCCGGTGTCGAATATAACGGTAAAATTCTGAGGGGGCGAACCGATACTAATCTCTCCATAGTATTGAGCATCCATGTAATTCTTCAAATACACCGTCGTATCTTCATCGGAATCGCTGAGTTTGAGCTGTCGATTCTCGACGCGTGTTCCGTATCTACCCTCCAATCGAGCTTGTCTGGCAGCACTAATGGAGGGCAGGTCCAAAGACCTCCTTTTCAGACTAATTCTCCTTAAACCATCCGAAGAAGGGATTAACACAGCCCATAAACATAAGACAGCCAGCAGATAGTTACACTTCATGTTTTCAAGATTTGCCTGTCAAAGAACATAGTCAAGAATTAAAGATGCAATCTTTATGGGGGTAAAATGGGTATTTTTTAAATTCTGAAAATATGTAATCAAAACTCCATACAAGTTAATCCTCTATAAATTAATACGGGTAGTCGGGACTAGGAAACTCTATTAATTTAGCGAATCATTAAATTATCGAGTTAATAGTTTAACATGTTTTCACCGAGTCGGGACGAGAGAAACTATTATTTAATCGAGGTTATTAATTTATCGAGTATTAATTTATCGATGTTCTACTGAAGATGATTTTTATATAATTATGAGTTCAAGAAACACACACTAAACCTAAATAAAATCACACACACACACACGTGTTGAAAAACACAGTTCTAAAAATCAACTACATCAACACACACTCAAAACCTTCAAGATCACATCTTTGATACATCAAAAACAGAAGATGAGAACATATGCAAAATGATCAAGAAAAACCCTGATTGAAAACTATTTACACATAATAAAATAAATAAAATCAAGAAACTTACACAAAATTGCTGGCTGAATAAATCACTAAAATCAAGAAAGCTGTGAAATAAAAGATTTTAGATTTTGGATATTTCGAACCTGGGTTACTTCAGAAGAGCTTCAAGAGCATAGCAAAGCTACTAAAAAGTCAAGTAATGAAAAGCTTATAGATATGAGAATTTAGTACAGTCCATAAAAATTAATTAAAAAAATTAAGGAAATATTGTGTAGTAAGGAAGTAGATATTTTCTGAACCAAGTAGATACTCTTTTTTGTCTAGAGTGAAACATTATACATTCTTGGATGAACACGTTTCTCCATATGAGTGGTGGGAGGATATGTCACGTGCATTTGGGCGCGTGGTGTGTTAAAACAGAGGTGGGTAGGTTTGAAATTTTGATCAAAACTTGATAGACACGTGCTGCAAAGGTATTTGGCAATAAAGAAGGGGAAATTGCGAAGAAGTTTCCTCTTTTTATCCGAAAAATAAATTCGACTGGCGGATGATTAAAGGTCCCAACTTGTGTATTAATTAATATTTAGGGTAAATTACAAACACCCCCCTGAGGTATGTCAATTTACGAAAAAACCTCTATTGTTTGGATAATTACATCTACCCCTCTCAACTATGATGTTTTCCTTTCACTCCACCCTTATGGTGTCAAATTCAACAAAATCATCTAGATTATGTGAAATGTGCTCTAATTTGTCCTCGTTTTGTGTAAAAATACAGTTTCTGATGCACCACAATCTGATATATACAAGCCAAAAAACACTTATTATGATCATCTTGCTTCAAAACGTAGAGTTTGAATAAGATAAAACGGGTACAAAAGTGATAATATTCTATATAATCTCGAAGATTCCACTAAATTTGATGAGTTGAGGGGTGGTTGTAATTATCCAAACAATAGGGGGGTTTTTGTAATTTGACCATACCTTAGGAGTGGTTGTAATTTACCATAATATTTAATAATAATATTATATTAATCGTCGTGGAAGATTATGGTTCAGATATCCGTTTGTTTATTATTTTATGGGGAGGAAATAATTTCTTAGTTCTCCCAACAACTATTGATTTTTTCAGCCCTGCAGATTCATGGCTTTTATATATTAATTAGCAATTAGATATTTGTTGTTTAATGCGAAAAATCTATATTGAAAATTGATGCATGATCACTTGATCGATTGAGTTAAGGCATCTCCAATCATTTAACTTTTGCGATGCTATCTGCTAAAAATAAATGATTATACCATTTATCAACAAAAAATTGACCGGAAGGCTAAATTTTAGGTGATCGAAAATCAATTGTCCAGCTCCTGTTGACCGCAGTTAAATGAATAAAATAATAATTAAAGCACTAAAAAAAAAGGGGAACCTCCAAGCATAAAAAATAATTTTGGATTGTGGAAGAAATGAAATTTCCAGCTTCCATATTCTCCATATTTGTTCTCAATAATGTTTATAATATTTGATTGCTGCTATTTAATTTAGAAAGTAATTATTTTAAATATTATTTATTGATATTAACAATTTGGCATTATAACTTTCTGATTTCTATTATTCATTAATTATTTGGCAGATCGTATAATTTATAAATATCTATTATAATAGAAAAAATTGAGAAGTAATTAAATATAATAAATGGTATAAATATAGATGGTATGATTGGAGTACAAAGTTAAATTTCACTTGCTAAAACACGGTTCCCCACCTACACTAGATATAACATTTGTGTTTTTACCTTACAACTTTGCAGATGCTCTTAGAGAGTTCATCGACGCGATTGCGATACACAAACTTCAACGTTAACTTGATGAAGAATGCATGTTTGTCTGACCTACATAACATACTTAAATTCTTAAAAAATTATGTGGATAAAGTAGAAAACAATTAAGTAGACAAGAAATTATGTACGACGATATGGTTTAATTATATAGGTTGTCTGAGAATAACTCGCTATATTCACGATGTGGAATTTGTTGTACTTCTTTTATGTAGGATTGAAGGGATTGGATCATTTAGGTTGAAAATCAACTTTGGACCTATGTCTTATAAAAAATGTTTTCACTTTCCACGTAATATATTCGATGAATGACTTGGTTAAATTATTGAAATTCATGAATATAATAAACCAATTGTAAGTCTTGCTTCAGTTATGCCTTTATTTTATGGGTGTGGAAGAGTTATTCTCTAAAGATACGCACGAGTTTAATTGGATTTGTTTTCTGTTTGTCCAAATTGTGTCTGTTGATTATACAAACATGTATTTTTTTAGGTTGGTATAAATACGTTATTTTGGTTCGATGTAGAAATGAATGTTCGTATATCATCAAAGTTACGATTCGATGTAGTTCACATAGAAATATATATGCTTTTCTCGACAAAGTTCTCTGTGTAATCAATTCACTCTCCAAAGTAAGCGTTCACTACCAACAAAGATTAGAGCTATTGTTTGCAAAAGAAGGTCTAATAAGAAAAATAATAACGTATTTAAGGGTAATTAATTTTGTTTTTCTTTTCTCCAAATTGTGCTTATTATATACAAACATGTATCTTTTTAGGTTGGTACAAATATGTTATTTTGGTTCAATGCAGAAACGAAAGTTCGTATATCATCAAAGTTACGAGTGTTATATTGTGTCTCTAATCGGTACGGTGTAATATATATTGCAATATGCTTTCCTCGACAAAGTCATATATACAACCAATTCACTATCCAAAGAAAGCAAAGAGAGATGTTCAATACCAACTCAAGAGGATTAGAGCTATTCTTGATAAAAGGGAAAAAAATAATGTATTTGAAGGTAATTAATTATTGTACTTATGAAAGTCTTGGCAATAATTGGTTACATTTTCATCTCACTGTTATTCCTCCCTCGAAACGAATTCGTGTTTGTTAAGGTTTAAAAAAAAATTCTAAAACAACTTCTAAAGTTTTTCTCTCCTTCAGACATTATGTGACTGCTACAGTAAAAAGATTTGAACTACAGTAAAAATTGTCTTCACTAAAAAGCAAATAAACATTACTTTATTTTTCAAATTCTTCTTCTACAATACATTTTCTAACACATTTAAACATGATTTGACCGCTACAGTGTATTTGTCTCATTTCAACTTATAAACAAACATTATTTTAATTTTCCAATTATTTACTCAAAACATATCTACCCAAAATAAAATGAAAATACCTCCTGGAACGTATCCAAACATTTGCCCTTGTTTTTTACTTAACTAAGAAATACGGACTTTGCTGCGACGGAAATATATTTTTTAACCAGCCAATGTGTCACTGTGTTTTCCTAATTAGCAAGCAAAGTTTCAAGTTTCAACTTTGATCTTTCATTGTGAATGGAGCAAATTCAACCTTCCATGGAGCTAGCAAGAGTCCAAAAAAAAGAATCTCTAAAAATTTATATCTTTTGAAGTGGATGTCTAAGCTTTAATAGGGGTTGTGCGTAAGTGTTCAAATCTAATATCAATTTGAATTACTGTCAACATTGTTATTGTGGTACTAGCCAGTGAAGAAGTCAGCGTAGGGCCAAACAGAGCCCCCTCGAATTTTAATTTTTTTGACTACTATATACGTATATATAATTTTTGCATTTGTATTTTGCTCCTATAATTTTCAAGAATTTACTTTTATATAAAAAGTAAAATTAAGTATTTGTAACTGAAGAAAACATAGAAAAATAATAAATGAGTACTCAAGTCCATCCTCAATTGAAAAAATGTTCACTAGATTATATTTATAGATTTATTTAGTCAATCCAAAGTCCGAATTAATGCAAAACAAGTTCTATTAGATTATCTTTGCATATCTTCTGGTTTTGCCAAAACAAAAACAAAACAAAAAGCCCCCGAACTCATGAAATTTAATTACTTTATTGTATATTTGGTCCCCTAGTTATTAAATCCTGACTTCGCCATTGGTAGTAGCAGACACCAACATTGCTATCGTCGTAATTCAACTACTGCCAAGTGACTGGGGGTGCGGAAGCTGATGTGGTAACTGCAAATATTTTCAATAGAAGGATTTGATATTTTCTTTGACCAAAAAATGATTATTGCCATACTGAGAATTTTTAGTAGTTCTTTTGTGTTTTCCTAATTTATATGAAAACGTTCCAAATTTCAGTCTTCACATCTGATTAACCACAGTTTTTGAATATAACGAATCGGTTATTTATGGAGGCCGGAAAACGGGGCGAAGATGCTATGCTGAAAAAAATTAATGTGTTATGGTTAGTTATATACTTTGCTAAGGAGATGTTCGACAAAATGTTTCACTGAATTTATTACAGTATTCCGCTTGATTCTGTTTACCATAAAACTCATATTGATTTGAGATGTTTTTCGTTTTCCTTTCTCCCTTCTAGTTTGATTACGCAAGAAACAGAGTTATAGTTTATCACTTGTACCAAGTTCTAGTGAAAACGTACAGTTGCTCGACAGCTCAACTTTTTGTCGAGTTGATAATAAGTTCAGTTATAAGCTTGACTCTTTTTATAGGGCTTCCATATTTTTGACATTTATTCTTAGGGCAAATTACAGCCACCCCCTGATGTATGGTCAAATTACGAAAAAACTCCTCTTGTTTAGGTAATTACAGCCACCCCCCTTCTTTTAAATATTTTTACGTAAAATTTATGTAATTCGGTTATTTACCGAACCAAATCGTATATTTTGTTCGGTAAACGGTATGAAATGTTGGCGTACCGAAATTTTGGTCCGGTTTTACCAAATTAACAACCCTAAATTTACCTCTGGAGGGGTCTTTTCGTAAGATAAATACATAGTTGAGGGGGGTGGCTGTAATTACCCAAACAGGAGGGGGGTTTTCGTAATTTGACCATAGCTCAGGAGGTGGCCGTAATTTGCCCTTTATTCTTATCGAGTCTTTGTTACTATTTGATGTGGAAAAGAGTCATATCCTTCCGTGTTTTGTTATCCCTTCACTTCCTTACCATTGTCCACTAATAGAAAAATATCTTTTTACTACGATCATTAACCGTAGCAAAAGGTATCAAATTCGTACTAAAAAGGCTTTTGCTACGCATTTGCTACGAATTTGCCCCGTAGTATATACGGGCGTGACAAAAGCTTTGCTACGGTAAAAGGCCGTATCAAATACTTTTTTGCTACGGTAAATCCTAATAATTACTACGACTTCAAAATTGTTCTATAGTAAAAAGTACATTTTATTACGGTTTTTTACCGTAGCAAAAAATTTCGTAGTAACA